TATAATTCCTCTTATGTCACTGACTCTTCTGCATAACTTTCTACTATATAATTTTTATTTCCTTAATCTACATTATTTGGTACATTAATATGAGATGGAAGGAGTATATTTCCAACCACACTTGCCTTCTTCCTCTTGGCATCTTGAAGAATTGAAGAATGAATGGGAAGATGGATTGTGATAAGGCTATAAGTCAATTCATAAATGAGAGGGAGAAGCAAACGACCGGAAGGCCATGTTTGTCAGATGTGATAGGGTAGTTTAACTTTTTCAACCTTTGTAGTGTAATATTTTTCATTTTTCCTATTTAGCTCACCCCACTAATATTTAAGGTCATGTTTGGAAGGCATAAGTCTCTACCTTCTAGCTTTTGTACTGTTCAAAAAGTCTCTAAAAGCTTCTAGTTATATGTGTGGCATGACAATTTTTAAGAACTTTTCAAAAATTAAAAGATATTTTTTGAGATGCTACAGAGAGTAGCATCTGAAAAAAGCCTGTGACTTTTAGTATTAAGGGTATGTTTGGCACAACTAGTTGAAAAGATATTTTGTGAGCTTTTTAATAACTATTATCTTTTAGTGACTGAAAAGATCTTAAAATGAAAATGTGGTAGCTGTTTGGTAAAACATTGACTATTTGATTTAGTTCGGTTTGGTATACAAGCAGTTAGGACTAATTAATACTAAACGTCACGGGCTTTTTTCAGATGCTACTCCTTGTAGCATCTCAAAAAAAAATCTTTTGATTTTTGAAAAGCTCTTAAAATTTGTCATGCCAAACAAATAACTAGAAGCTTTTAGAGACTTTTTGAACAGTACAAAAGCTAGAAGGTAGAGACTTATGTCTGTCAAACATAGTCTAAATAGTCCTAGCAACTTGTATAACAAAACGAACTAAATCAAACAATCAGTTTTTTACCAAACAGCTACCACCTTTTGTATTTCAGATCTTTTCAATCACTAAAAGCTAACACTTATTAAATGTTTTCAGCTAGTTGCGTCAAACGTACTTACATACCCAGTCTAATATAATTTAGCATGTAATAAAATTTCACTATTTAGCCTTTTCAAATATCTATAACTATACTCTCCACCGTTAATAATTTAAAGAAAACGTTGACAGTACGAATTATATTTATGATATGTTGTGAAACTGAGGGCGTCATTTACAATATATTCACAATCAAGGAATGAAGTTTTCACTCTACAAATGACTAAATGCAAGATTTATTCCATCAATTTACAAAAATACTCCGTAAAAGACAATCGAGTTAAATGACAAAATAAAAATGCAATGTTCCGAGAATTTAATTCATACAAATTGTCTTATTTTCTCGTCAAATTATACCGTGGAACCGGCGCACCATGAGGATTGTGCGCCCGGTGGCAAAACGACGCAGCTTGCCCCTTTTTTTTTTGCTTTTGTTGTTAAAAAATGATAATAATTTTTTTATTTTTGATCCGATTTTTATAAAATTTATATCAACATTTTTTATTTTTCATGATCTTTCAAATGAGACCACTATTGCTTATGTAATTTTAAGAAATTATCGAACTATTATATTAATGAGTATTGGATTATAAGGAAAATCGAATCTGTTTGGGAGATGATAGGTTTGTGAAATAGAAGATCGAATCTGTTTGGGAGTGGATCAGTGGCCTCAGTTACATTTGATAATACATTGAGTTACATCTTTTTATGAGCGAGATACATCTTTTTATAAGCAAGTTACATCTTTTTATAAGCAAGTTACATCTTTTTATAAGCAAGTTACATCTTTTTAAAAGCGAGTTACATATATATAAATACGAGTTGCATTTGACATGCCTGAACGCGACTTACATATATTTACACGTAAAGTTACATATTTTTACACGTAAAGTTAAATATTTATACACGCGAGTTACATATTTATACACACGAGTTGCATTTGGCCTGTCTGAACGCGAGTTACATATTTTTTTACGTAAAGTTACATATTGTTACACGTAGAGATACATATTTATACACACGAGTTGCATTTGGCCTGACTGAACGTGAGTTACATATTTTAACACGTAAAATTACATATTTTACATGCAAATGTTAATATGTTAAAATCACATAGGCAATATTGGTCTCATTTGAAAGATCATGAAAAATAAAAAATGTTGATATAAATTTTATAAAAATCGGATCAAAAATAAAAAAGTTATTACCATTTTTTAAAAACAAAATGAAAAAAATATATAAATCCATACCGCTATACGGTGCTCACCGTATACCGGTCGTACGGTATAGGCACTCCTTTTTTTACGGTGCACGTATTTATCTTATTTCTCTTTCCCACCTACTTATTTGAGGTGTTTCGTCCCTATTTGTCTCTTACCCATATACTCCCTCCGTTCTTAAATAAATGCAACGGTCAACATTTCACACTTGCCGAGACATAACTTTGACCATTAATATAAATGATTTTGTATTAGTAAAAAAAATTAAAAAATTAGATTATGAAAATTTACAATGAGACAAGTTTAACAATATTTTTTTCATAAAGGTCTTCTTTGTAATTTTCATGGTATTTGAGCAATAAGAATGCTTCGTGTCTAACTCGGAATTGTTAACCCCCAAAGACATTGCTTCCAAAATTAGAGCATCTACCGAGCAACAACACTACAACAGCTGTTCACATGGCTGATAAAGGACAAAGTCAAATGAATTAATCCCTTTTCATATCTTCTCACTTTCCCATTTCAATCGCAACATTCATATCTTATTATTTCTAAATCTTCTCATCATCCTCTTAATAACTTTGCAAATGATTTAGAATTTATGCATTATTACAGCAATTTTTTTTATTTGTTCTTCATTTCAACACACTATTTCATTATTTTCTCATCATATCCTCAAAAATTTATATCCCCTTTCACTATTCATAATTTCACCTGCTTTTAAATAGGAAGATATAAATGTTACAGAGGTAGTACTTTTTAAGAGTAACTTATTGGCTCTTGTTACTATAAACTCTTTGCTTAATACAAAATGAGTGAGCAGCTATTCGGTTAAAAACATTAAAACAGTTTTTTTTTCAATTTTGGTTTAAAAAATGTGAAATGAGTTTCACTTAAAAACTAAAAATTGAAATTGAAAGCAGGCGGAAAAGTGATTTTAAATGCTTTTCCCATTTTCTATTATACAAAAAGTATTTTTTACCAAACATCATCCATTTTTACTTTTTCAAAATCATTTTTTGAACAAACACTACCTATTTTAACTATCAAACATTTTTTTCTAAATTCACTTTAAAAATCAAAACTTTAAAGTAAAAACAATCTCAAACACCCACTATGGGAAGACTTTCACTGACATGGGGCCCTACTTTGAAAAGGCCTGTCTTCTAAAAATATTTGGAAATGTGGCATTTTCAATTTTCTCACTTGCCAGTGAAGTGGCAGAGATGGTGGAGAGAGAGGCCCGGACAGCGAACTCATTTCGTCCATGTTTGGTGTACGTTCTTGAGTTAATGATCCAAATAGGACTAATAACAAAGTTAATTGCACATATAGGACTGCATACGGAAGTGGAGTTTCATAGGACTTAATTCAACATACTTGGACAAAAATAACTCTAATTTATTTTTTTTAATTTTAAAAAAGTAAAATAGAAAAACTGCTGAAACCCTATTTGTCAACTGCCAATAGTAGCACTGCTGCCGTCGAAGCCAGAGCCGCCCCCTGCCCTCACCGACTACCGCCGCCGTTGCCGGCACCGCCAGCCCATGTCCTTGCCGGCGCCGCCTGTCGCCACCCTCTCCGACGCTGTTGCATCGTTGCCGGTGCATCGTCGCCATACATCACCACCCAACCAGCGTCACCATCCGCCTCTGCCGCCTCCATCCTACCATCGTCATTGCTGCCTGTGTTAAATCTGGGACCACCATTTCACCTTCGAGTACCGCCTATGCCGTCACACCCCACCGCCAAAAAAATGTCATTAAATTATTGGAAGATTTGGCCTTGAAAATTACGTTCAAATCTGTCTTTAAAACAAATTTTCAGATCTACCATCATCAATGGTAGATTTATATTGATCGATTTAGACAAATCTGCCATCCATCATCATGGCAGATTTATATTGACCGATTTACACAAAACTGCCATTATCTTAGCAAAATATGAAGTCCACGACTAAATTTCTGAAAAAACAAAAATTTAAGAGAACAATAACTTTAACAAATTCATCTCATTAACAAATAAGAAGTGAATGACAAAAAAAACTGATTTTCACAAAAAATGTTTTACCATAATATGATTGTCAGATTACATTTCTGCCATAAACTTGGAAAAATTGTAAGCCATCATCCAAAAAACTGCCATAAACTTGGCCAAATCTGAAGCTATCATCTAAAGTTTTTGAAAACCAGATTTTTGTTAAAACTTAGAGATCAGAAACCACAAAATCGAAAAAGAAGCCTGAAATTGACAAAATCAATTGGAAATCAAGAAAATCAGAGGAAAATCGAAAAAGAAGGAGAAGAAAGAGAAGGAGAAGAAACATAAAGAGAAGGAGAAGAAGAAACCTGAAATTTGAAGCAAAATAAAGATGATGGTGGTGAATAGCGAAGGCGGCGAAGGCGGCGAAGGCATGGGCGGTGGAAGCACCGTGCGGTGGAGTAGGTGGCGGGCAGATCCACAGGGAGAAGATGAGATACCAGCTCTTTGTGTTGAGGTCTGTGAGAAGGAATCAATCGATCTATGAAAGGAGAAGGAGAGAGACAATGCGTAAATGGGTGCAGAGGCAAACATGGGAAGCATATTTGCGTATCTTAAACGATAGGAGTAAATTGATCTTATTAAGGGAAGAAAACATTATAAATCTTATTTTTTCATTTCATACTTGTTTTAGTCCTATATGGGGCAGTTACTTTACATTCTTTCCCACATGAAACATCACCGTTTCCTCCGGTCCACGAAAGGCGCTATAAATCTATAATCATTCTAATACGACTTCATTTCCATCATTAGAGAGTAAGTAAACTAGGACTCGATCTTCCACTACCATGTTGAGCGGCCACCAGCCAGAAAAGGACCCCTTACTCATTCTCCATTCCACCACAGAGGAAGGCAAAGCATCATCATCAAAACGCTCTTATGACGACACCATTGAGCGTTGCATCGGAAAGTTTGGGTGGGCCCAGTTCCTGCAAGTCATCCTCGCTTCTCTGGCATGGGCTTTTGACGCCCAGCAGACCTTCATCACTATCTTCACGGACCTCGTCCCCACGTGGCACTGTGACACTTCATATGCATCATCTCACTGCAGCCATGATGGTACGCTGCAGGTAGCCGAGGTCTGTGCCCTCCCGAAGGATGCATGGGCGTGGGACACACCGGCACGTACACGCATCAGTTGTGTCTGAGTGGTCCCTAGAATGTGCCAGCCCATTCGTGACCGGGCTGCCTGCAGCTTCGTTCTTCATAGGCTGCCTAGTTGGCGGGCTCTTGCTTTCCACATTCGCTGACTCATCCTTCGGCCGGAAGAAAATGCTCGCCTTCTCATGCTTACTCATGAATGTCGCGAGCATCCTCACAGCGACCTCCACGAACGTGTGGGCTTGCTAACTCATTCTGGAAGTTCTTGACTGGGTTCGCACGTGCCACCATTGGAACATGTGCGCTCGTTTTGTCGACTGAGATCGTCGGCAGGCGGTTGCGGGGGCAGGTTGGGATCATGGGATTTGTATGCTTCTCTCTTGGATTCCTCTCTTTACCCGCAATAGCATACCTGAACTCCGAGTCTTCCTGGAGATATCTCTACCACTGGACAGGCATCCCCGGGATCATACACTCACTTCTAGTTTTCTTCTTTGTTCATAAATCTCCTAGGTGGCTTTATGTTCGAGGACTAACTAAAGATTTTGTCCAAACAATCCGAAACATCGCCCCGCCAGACACGCGCAGCTTAATAACCTGCAGCTTCTTCGGCTCGTTCATTCAAGACCATGAATTAACGCCTGACCTGCATGATGATAACCACAACCGCATGGGTTTGTGTTAGAAAATAGAAGAGGTTGTTGGTTGTATGAGTAGAATAAGTGATTTTAGAGAGGTGTAATGTAGATGATGTGTTTTAGAGGAGAGCTCTTGTCTCTAGATAAGTAGTATTGTATTGATGTTTCTTGGTTTTTGCTTGCTTTGAAAATGAGTACAATGAGTCCTATTTATAGGAGCTAGAGGATCATTCTAGATCCTTATTAAATGTTATGATTCTAGAGTATTCTACATCTATGTCTAATTACTCTAGATTTTACATAAGAATTCTCTAGTAGAGAATTTTCTAGAATACTTTCTACCTTTAACTCTCTAGATCATCTCTAGCCTTTTCTACATAGAATATTCTAGATAAATGCATCACTATTTAATACTCCTCCTTGATGCATTTGTCGGTGACTCCAAGCATTCTTCGCAGAAACTGGAATCTGTCTCTTGGCAGGGCCTTCGTGAAAATATCTGCCAATTGTTCTTCTGTTGGGCAGTACTTCATCTCAATATGCCCCTTTGCTTGGACATCTCTCAAGAAGTGATACTTGATATCGATGTGCTTAGTACGATTGTGCTGAATTGGATTTTTAGCCATCGCAATAGCTGACTTGTTGTCGCAAAATATTTGAGTCGCAGAACTTTGCAATTCTCCCATGTCTTCTAATATTCTTTTTAGCCATATAGCTTGGCACGCTGCTCCGGCTGCTGCAACATACTCGGCTTCGGCTGAAGATAGTGCAACAGAATCTTGCTTCTTTGATCCCCATGAGAAAATTCCCGAACCCAGCTTAAATGCGTAACCGGAGGTGCTTTTCATGTCATCTTGAGATCCAGCCCAATCACTGTCGCTATATCCAGTTAGTCGTGAGTCAGGAGTTGTTTTGTACCAAATACCATAATTGATGGTTCCTTGTAGATACCTAAGGAGTCTTTTTGCCGCTCCATAATGAGTCTCAGTTGGACTTTCCATGAACCTCGAGAGCAAACTTGTAGCATACATGATGTCCGGCCTCGTAGCCGTTAAGTAGAGTAGACTCCCAATCAAACTTCGGTAATTGGTTGCGTCCGTCTGCTTTGACCCATCTTCTTTCTTCAATTTTTCATTAGGAACCAGTGGAGTAACGACGGTTTTGCAGTCTTGCATTTTAAACTTCTTTAGCATGTCCTTAATATATTTTTCTTGAGATAAGAATATGCCTTCTTCTTCTTGACTTATCTCCATGCCAAGGAAGTAGTGCATTAATCCCAAGTCACTCATCTCAAAAGTGTTCATCATGTCTCTCTTAAATTCTTCAATTAATTTGGAATTATTTCCCGTGACAATTAAGTCATCAACATATAGAGAGACGATGAGAATGTCAGATTTACCTTGGGATTTGATGTATAGTGTAGCCTCGTTCTTACTCCTCCTGAACCCTTGACGGGTGAAGTATCCATCAATCTTGCTATACCACGCTCGTGGAGCTTGTTTGAGCCCGTAAAGCGCTTTCTTTAGACGAAGAACTTTTCCTTCTTCTTTGATGAATCCTTCTGGTTGCTCCACATACACTTCTTCTCGTAGCTCTCCATTTAGAAAGGCTGACTTGACGTCTAGCTGATAAAATTTCCATTTCTTCTGAGCAGAAAGAGCTATGAGTGTTCTTATTGTGTCCATCCGGGCAACTGGTGCAAACGTCTCTGTGTAGTCAACTCCCGGTATTTGAGCATAGCCCTTTGCAACCAGCCTTGTCTTATGCTTCTGAATTGAGCCATCGGGGTTCAGTTTTGTTTTATACACCCATTTGACTCCAATAACCTCCTTGTTATGTGGAAGATCTACCATTTCCCAAGTATCATTCTTTTCTATCATTTTGATCTCCTCCTCCATTGCTTTAATCCAAATTTTTTCTTTGGAGGCTTCGGTGTATCTATTTGGCTCCAAGGAGCAAAAGTTGCATGTTTCATAGATGTCAGTAGACTCATATAGGTCTGCTAGAGTTCTTACCCGAAGAGGTGGGGACTCTGGTGAGGAGTCGTGATTTCTTGATGTATTAGCTTCAAAAGAGGATCTTGGAGTAGACGTGGGGCTTTGTTGATCGTGATTTTCCTCTTCTGGTATTTCTTCTAGTTGGACAGTAGTTGTCTTTCTTTCAACTTTTTCTGTCTCCCAATTCCAAGAGGCTTGCTCGTCAAACTCCACATCTCGACTTGTCACCAACTTCTTTGTCTCGAGATTGTAGATTCGATATCCCTTGGATTTGGAGCTATAGCCAAGGAAGATGCCCTTCTCTGTCTTGTCTTCTAATTTGTGCCTTTTAACAGAGGGAACATGAATGTAGCATATGCTTCCGAAGACCTTCAAATGTTTGGCTGAAGGCTTTTGTCCAGACCATGCCTCAATAGGTGTTTTGTTTAAAACCGCCTTAGTTGGACACCGGTTTAGAAGATAGACTGAAGTATATACTGCCTCTGCCCAGAACGTTTTAGGCATTCCTTTTTCAGCTAACATAGACCTTGCCATCTCCATGACTGTGCGGTTCTTCCTTTCGGATACCCCATTTTGTTGTGGAGTGTATGCTACTGTTAGTTGATGCTCTACACCTTCATCTTCACAGAACTTGTCAAATTCTTTTGAGTTGTATTCGGTACCTCGATCGCTTCTCAACTTCTTGATTTGATGACCACTCTGTTTCTCCACGAAGTTCTTGAATCTCTTGAATATTCTAAAGACTTCGGATTTTTCTTGGAAAAAATACACCCATGTCATCCTAGAGTAATCATCGATGAAGAGTATGAAGTACCTGTTCTTCGAAACTGAAGGCGTGCGCATTGGACCGCAGACATCGGTGTGGACAAGCTCTAGTATCTGTTTGGCTCTCCATGTCTTTTCTGTTGGAAATGGTTGCCTGTGCTGCTTCCCAACCATACATCCTTCACATACTCCTTCTTTTTCATCCAGTAGAGGCATGTCTCTCATCATCTTCTTTTGGTGTAGTAATCTCAAGGCATTGAGATTGAAGTGCCCAAATCTTCGATGCCATAGACTCGTATCACTCAGTTGAGCCACCATCGCCTTTTGTGGGTATTGCCATTGAATAGGAAAATTTCTATTATTTCCCATTTTTACTTCAGCAATTTCTTGATTATTGTTCTTGTCATAAATTCGGCAAGAATTTTTCTCAAAGTGCAAGGCATATCCACTTTCCATCATTTGGCCAACACTTAGTAGATTTTGTGCAAGGTGTGGCACTAGGAGAACGTTTCTAATAAAGTGCGTACCTTTCTTTGTATCTATGACAATGGTACCTTTCCCCTTTGCCTCCACCAAATCGCCATTGCCCATCTTGACCTTTGTCTTGATAGAGGTGTCTAAGTCATGGAAGATGGTCTCGTTGGATGTCATGTGATTGCTGCACCCACTATCGATGTACCACTCTTCTTCTTTTGCTTCTATGGCTGAGTGACATGCGTAGAACATGTACTCCTTCTCCTTAAAATCTTCAGAATAGTTGGCCTGATAGTTTCTTCTATCTCTGCAATCTTTTTCTTCATGCCCGAACCTCTTGCAATTTCTGCATTGTGGCTTTCCTCGATGGTAGCAATCTTTCTCTAAGTGATTAGTCTTCTTGCATATTTTGCATGGTGGAAAGTTCGTCTTCCTCTCCTTATTGTTAGAATTCCCATCTTTATGTGGTTTAAAGTTTTCACCATTTCTCGAGTGATTCCTTTTAATGTTGAGCTTAGACTGGAAGGCACTTTCTAATGAACTTTCGTGTCGTCTGTTTAGCCTTTGCTCACGTGCTTCTAACGACCCCATTAATTCAGTGATGGACATTTTTTATAGATCTTTTGACTCCTCAATAGCCGAAACTACTGGATCATATTTTTCAGGGAGACTGATTAGGACCTTCTGGATTATTCTCTCGTCGGTTATGTTTTCTCCAAGAGTTCTCATTTCGTTGACTATATGTATAACCCGAGAGAAATAATCTTTTGCCATTTCAGAATCTCTCATCTTTAAATTTTCGAGCTCTCTTCTTAAACTTTGTAATTTAATAGTTCTAACTTTCTCATTTCCTTGAAATTCCTCCTTAAGAATATCCCAAGCTTCTTTTGCCGTAGTAGCACGAATTATTCTCGGGAAAATAGTATCACAAACGGATTGTTGAAGAAGATAGAGAGCTCTAGCATTTTGCTGTTTTTGTTTCTTACGTACCTCGAAAGTTGATGCGTCGTCGCTTCCTTTTTCCGGCATGATGATTCCTTCTTCAACAATATCCCAGAGATCATGTGATTCTAGGCAAGTCTTCATACGGACACTCCAATAGTCATAGCTTTCTCCATTGAACATCGGAGTTGATACCGAGAAGCTTGATGTCGCCATAATGCCCGCTTATGATCGAACAAGCTCTGATACCACTTGTTAGAAAATAGAAGAGGTTGTTGGTTGTATGAGTAGAATAAGTGATTTTAGTGAGGTGTAATGTAGATGATGTGTTTTAGAGGAGAGCTCTTGTCTCTAGATAAGTAGTATTGTATTGATGTTTCTTGGTTTTTGCTTGCTTTGAAAATGAGTACAATGAGTCCTATTTATAGGAGCTAGAGGATCATTCTAGATCCTTATTAAATGCTATGATTCTAGAGTATTCTACATCTATGTCTAATTACTCTAGATTTTACATAAGAATTCTCTAGTAGAGAATTTTCTAGAATACTTTCTACCTTTAACTCTCTAGATCATCTCTAGCCTTTTCTACATAGAATATTCTAGATAAATGCATCACTATTTAATAGTTTGTACTCAGCACTAAAAGTGTTGCTAAACAAACGCTGGGCTGTACGCGGCTTACTGGTAATCATGTGTGCAGGGTTTGGGTTTGGTATGGTGTACTACGGCATACCACTCGATGCCGGCGAAATGCCTTTTAGCATCTACCTCAGCACGGCTCTAAATGCCTTGTCCGAGCTGCCGGCCTCTCTGATAACATCCTTGATGATAAACTAGCTGAGGAGGAGAACCTCGGTGTGATGTATGGGTTTCCTGTGCTGCGTCTGCAGCTTTGGTTGTGATCTGTTGGCAGGGGAAAGGTTGAAATTCCTGCAGATCGGGCTGGAACTGGTTGCATTCTTCAGCGGATGCACAGGGTTTGGTGTGGTGCTGATATACACGCTCGATCTGTTTCCAACTAGTGTGAGGAACTCAGCTATGGCAATTGTGAGGCAAGCGCTGATGCTCGGCGGTGCCGTCAGCCCATTGCTCGTCGGGCTTGGCAGAACGAATAGGTATTACTCATACGGGGTGCTCGGATTGACCATTGGCAT